TGATATCATGCAAGCAGCGTGGATTATGAATTTCCTATGAATTAACCACATGCCAATGCTAATGTTAGTCAATTAACAGCCAGCTAAATTTATGCGAGAGAGCAGCTGGAAAAGATCTACGAACCTCATCACAAATTGTTATTAACTTCCTAGGAAGCTATCCCTAGCTGTTTTGTTTTTATCGGAAAATCTATATAAAGAAGAACTGAAACTTGTTCAACTTGCTGTCAAATTAAACGGATCAAGCCTAAGCTAAGCTAACGCAGTTTAAGCCATTCAAATGCCTCTCATTTGTTTGCCTTTGTCTGGGTGAAACTTTCTTTTGTATGCGTTTCATAAATAATGTCTCCGTGCTCCAGCGACAATCGAAGCTAATGCATAAAGACATTTAACTTGTTTCCCTAACTCAATTACTTAATAAGTCGAAGGCTGCAGATGCAACCGGCTGTCATTAGTTGGCTTCATTATGCATTGCCCTCAGCTCATCCATTCAATGATTCATTTGCTCGCTCCCTCAGTAGCTATTGATGCCACTCCAGCATTAGCTGCTGCTGCCTCCTCCTGCTGTCTCCTCCCCCTGCTCCTGCTGTCTCTTTTTGCTCTTTTCTCCCTTTTATCGTCTACCCTTCGACGGCAAATCGCAATTACAACTTCCGCGCTGAGTCATTTTATACAAACACTTTATACTCTGCTTAGAGTGTGCAGAACGGGAATATCAGTTTATCAGCTGATTTGACAGACATCAATATAATATAAGATATACCACAGTTAAAACTTATCTTAAATTGCAAAGCACTGACTAACTTCAAGTATATTTTACAACTTTGCTCTGATTCTCTAGAGACAGAGAGAGAGAGAGAGAGAGAGAGAGGGAAGTAAGCAGTCAGTTTTTCGTTTACTAATTTCTGACTTGCTTTTGCAGCACTATTAGAGCTCATTAGGTTGATGTCGTTAAGGTCTCATTGCTGCGCAGCTCTCCTCACTCTTCACTCTTCCCTCTGCCTTCTGCACTCTGCACTTCTCTAAGCTTCTCTCTGCTTGAATTAATGTGCTCAAAGCTGTTGCTGCATTTCGCTGACAAAGTGACCTCGCCGCCAACGCCGAGAGCCGTGAAGAGCGCCTCGGTCACGTCGCATCATAAAAAATATTTCATGAACTGGTGGCCAGGCAACAAAGCAGCCAGCTGAGTGAAGTACGAGCTGAGGAGCTAAGGAGTTGGCGAGCTGAGGAGCTGAGGAGCTGGGCATTGCTTCTAATGCTAGTTTATGACACAGGTGTCTGTGGAGAGGTTCAGCGGGGGTGGGCTGTGAAGGCGGCGAAGGAAAGAAGTTTTGAAAGAAGTTTTTAAAGCTGCGCTTAGAGGCTCAGACACCAGGAGTCATGACTCATGAGTCATCTCTGTCCTCAGACAGCAGTTGTTGCTATTGTTGCTGTTGTTGGTGTTGCTGCTGTGGCTGTTGCTATTGCTGTTGCTGGGGCTCTTGTTGCTGCGAAGCCACTTGCATATCAATCAGGGCTTAAAATGCGATGCACGATTGTGACGTGCGGGCTGCATAGCTGCGGTGCGGTGCGGTGCAAAGGGACCTGGGACGGGGCACTCAATTGCGATGATGAATTATCGATGCAACAAGCACTCAATGTCCCGCAAGCCCAACTACCAGCCCAGCCACTTGCCACACGGCCAAACAAATTTTGGCTACAAGTTAACTGAACTTTGGCAATAAATATAATTTGTGCAGTCTTTGTCTGAGTCGTCTGAGTCGCCCAATAATGTGGCAGATGGCCTGAGTCTAATAATATAAATATATTGTTACTATAAATTGCAAGCAATCATTGTCTCCATTCTCTATTCTCTACCGCTGCCTGAGCAGTTGAGTGAGTGGTAAAAGCATCGCCATTCGAGTCATTCACGATTGGAGCTCAACTTCAGTTTATATCAAATCCAAGGCGAATGCGATGAACTTTATGTGTTGAACGTAAAAAGTAATCAAATCAATGATCATCAGACACTTAAGAGTCCAGCTCTGTCTAATTCGCAGATGTTTTGCTAATGCTTTCAACTAATGCTTTCAACTATAACCAGTTGCACATTGCGCGATTAACGCAAAGTCAACTCAAATCTGACGACTCGCAGCTGTATTAATCATTCAATAATTATTAATTTGTTAAATGAACTACATAATTTGTTAACGAACTAAATTATTCTACCTTATATAAGAGTGATGTGCCCTGGTCTAAGCTAAAAGCCTGCTCTGCTCTGGCTATAAAATGATAGTAATTATACTTGTAAATATATGATAATATTATTGTAAATATTAATATCATATTAAATCACATATTATATCATCCAGTTATGTAATATTAGAGTTGAATACTGACAACAGAATTTATTGAGTAATTCAAGATTTTCAAATCGATTTAAAACGATTAACAGATTTTAACTTTATTAACTTTATTGCCTTAAGAATACATGAAGTTCAGGGTTTGATGAAGATGATGAAAACAGTTGGGCCTTTTTCTTTTCATTTAATAATTAATTCATTTATTTATATATTCTTTATGCATTCATTAATTTATTTATTATACTAATTTAATGATTGAAATAATAATAATTTGATTGAATTTTTTTTACTGGAAATGGAAAGTCAGTTAGATTTCCATAAAAGACTCTCTCCATGTGAGAATTAAAATCGTTTGAACTGCATTTTATATATCTCAATGAACATATCCATGTATTTTAATTACAAATATTATAGTTATGTGGACATGTTTGAATACCATTTGTCCATTCAAGAACTTCATAATGATATGATTGATTACTAATTGATTTTCCAAAAAAGTTATTTCCGTGGGATTTCTCATCGAGGCTGAAGTGGAGTATTTTCTATTTTACTATATATTTGTCTATTCAGTAATTAAAAAATAAAAATATAAATTAACTAATTGTAAGCAATTGAGAACCTAAATTGAATGTATTCCTTCTCTCCTGTGTTCCCCAGGCCCATGTGGTGTCTGCGTTCGAGCAGTCGCTCACGAACATGACGAATCGGCTGCAGCAGCTGACGGCTACGGCGGAGCGCAAGGACGGGGAGCTGACGGATATGCGGCAGACGATTGAGCTGCTGCGCAAGCAGTCCATTCAGGCGGGCCTGACCACGGCGCACATGCAGAGCATGGGCGTCCAGACCCAGGGCCAGACCCAGAACGAGCTGATGCTGCAGCAGAAGCCGCCGCCAGTGCCCGCAGCGAATAGCCGCGGAGGCAATGCGAATGCAAATGCAAATGGAACTAGCAATGGCAATGGCAATGGCAATGGCTTAGGATTGGGATCGGGATTGGGCATGCAGCGACAGCACAGCACCGACTCGATGTGCTCGCTGAACTCCATCAGCTCGGGCTGCTCGGCGGCGCAGGACAAGAACAAGGCCAACAAGAAGAAGGGCTGGCTGCGCAGCAGCTTCACCAAGGCCTTCTCCCGCAACGCCAAGATCTCGAAGACGAGTCGCCATGTGGGCCAGCACCATCAGCAACAGCAACAGCAGCACGAGCACGGCTCCGGCAAGGCATCAGTGCTCAATGGGCACGGACACGGACATGGCCATGGGCATGGGGAGCCTTTGGGCTTGGCGGCCTTGGCCACGCAGCCGGCGCCGCCGCTGCCCGTGGCGAATGCATCCAGCAAGCAGAGCAGCCCGGCCAAGACGGTGACCCTGATCGACAATGCGAAGCCCATCGACGCCATCGACGGGGAGGATCACCACGTGGTGGAAGACCTGAAGAAGCAGCTGCGCGAGAAGGACCTGGTGCTGACCGACATACGGCTCGAGGCGCTCAGCTCGGCCTCGCAGCTGGAGAGCCTGAAGGACATGATGAATAAGATGCGCGCCGAAATGATGTCGCTCAAGCAGAACAACGAGCGGCTCCAGAAGCTGGTCACCAGTCGCTCCCTCGCCGGCTCCGAGGCCAGCCTCGGCCAGGCAATCAGCCCGAACGGCTCGCTCGGAGGCGGTGCCGGCGGCTCGGATGCTTCGCGACGCTACTCGCTGGCCGATGGCAATGCGCGGCCTCCCATGGAGCTGCCGCCCCGTCTGACCGAGGAACTGGAGGAGGAGTGCATGCCCCCGGCTCCGGCGCCAGAGCCACCACCACCGCCAGCGCCCTGCGCCCCGAACGGCGCAGCGCCGCTGAGTCCGAATACTCACATCGACTTGACTCCGCCGCCGCCAGCGCTGGAAGCTGGTCAGCTGAGCAGCCCGGTGCACATGGCCAGCTGTGGCGCCGTGGAGGAGCTGCCCGATGTGTGCGACGGCAAGAAGATAGCCATCGCCTGCTACCTGGGCCAGCCCGAGTCCTTCGCCAAGTACTGCGAGGAGATGCTGGAGCTGGACGACTTCTATGCCAACGGCGCCATCATTGCCAGCCACGAGGCGGAGCAGGCCCAGGGCCAGGCGCAGGGGCTGGGGCCGGGGCCGGGGCAGGTGCAGCAGGGCGAGCGCCAGGGCAATGAGTTCGTCATCGCCTGCACCTACATCTCGGGCAAGACGACCTGGCAGAACCTGGACTACATAGTGCGCAAGACCTTCAAGGATTACGTGGCTCGCATCGATCCCGGCACCAACCTGGGCCTCAACACGGACTCCATTACATCGTACCACCTGGGCGAGGCGAAGCGCGGCCCCGAGATGGGCTTCCCGGAGCTGCTGCCCTGCGGCTACATCGTGGGCAACGTGAAGACGCTCTACATCTGCTTGCAGGGCGTCGGCAGCTTGGCCTTCGACAGCCTCATTCCACGCAGCATCGTGCATCGCTACATTAGTCTGCTCACCGAGCACCGGCGTCTCATCCTGTGCGGCCCCAGCGGCACGGGCAAGTCCTATCTGGCGCGACGCCTGGCCGAGTTCCTGGTGGCACGGGCTGGCCGCGGCAATCCCTCAGAGGCCATTGCCACGTTCAAGTGAGTAGTCCTCTCTCTTTTAATTCTCTGCATAACACACGCTAAACAAACTCTCTCCCTCTCTCTCTCTCTTTCTCTATCTCTATATCTTCCTCTCCCTGAACAGCGTCGATCACAAGACCTCGAAGGATCTGCGACAATATCTGGGCCACATTGCCGAGCAGGCGGCCATAGCGAATGGTGCCTCGGAGCTGCCATCTGTGATCATATTGGACAACTTGCACCACGCCTCCGCCCTGGGCGATGTCTTCTCCTGTCTGCTCAGCGCCGGGCCGGCCACCAAGCTGCCCTGCATCATCGGCACCATGTCGCAGGCCACCTGCAACACGACCAATCTGCAGCTCCATCACAATTTCCGCTGGGTAGGTCGAACATATTTCTCTTTCCGACTGGAACGTTCTCACTTGTCCTGTCTTCCACTCATGCAATCTCTTTCGCTTGGCAGGTGCTCACAGCCAATCATATGGAACCCGTCAAGGGCTTCCTGGGTCGCTTCCTGCGTCGTCGCCAGTTCCAGCTGGAGCTGCAGACGCAGCAGGCACAGCCAGAGCTGGCGGCGGTGCTCGCCTGGCTGCCATCCGTTTGGCAGCACATCAACCGCTTCCTGGAGGTGCACAGCTCCAGTGACGTGACCATTGGACCACGGCTGTTCCTCTCCTGCCCGCTGGACTTGAAGGACTCGCAGGTGTGGTTCACCGACATCTGGAACTACCATCTGTCGCCCTACCTAATCGAGGCGGTGCGCGAGGGCGTGCAGCTCTACGGTCGAAGGGGCGGCGCCTGGAACGATCCGTCGGCCTTCATACGCAACTCCTATCCCTGGCCCTACGGACCGGACTCGGTGCCCCCGCTGCGCCAGATCAACGCCGAGGATGTGGGCCTAGAGGGCGTGGCTCTCAGCAACGGCGAGCAACAGGATCCATTGGTAAGCAACTCGCACCGCTTCTCTTCTTCCAAATAGATTCCTAATTGCGCCTTTCTTTCAGCTAAACATGCTGATGCGCCTGCAGGAGGCGGCCAACTACTCGGAGACACAGGAGCAGGAGTCCGACTGCGCCAGCCTGGACTCGAACGTGACGCCCGACAGCTCAGCGGGCGCTGAGTAGATCGACTCCACTCACAGATCTTAACTTCTAACATGCCAAATTAAAAGTTTCACATTTTTTGCTTGCGCTGTGACTAAAAGTCCCTATCACAACCATCACCCACACCCACACACACACACACACGCACACACACATCACAAAGGAATATTCTTGTACTACTTTCGCAATCAAGTTCTAAAGCAGTTCCAAGAGTTTTCCATTTGCACCAAGCCAATAAACTATTTAAGTACACTCAGAGAAATGGGGACGAGCTAAGTCTTATTTCTTCAGCCATAAAACGAAACATTTGCTGCCAAGACTCGCATCACTCACCGGATTTCTCAGAGTGTATCATCATGATATCTAACTCTTTCTCTCCTCTCTCTAATACCTCTCTATCTCCCCCTCTCTCCCTCTCTCCACCACAAAATGTAGAATTGCACTTTTTAGCGCACTTGTTAAAAATGCAAGTTTCCCAAAATCAAAAAGAAAACTATGATCACCCATCTAACTAGACATTCAGAAATAAATAACATTTGTAAAACTCAGCGCAAGCGAAAAATGAAATAAACCAAAAGAAAACAAAAAGGAAATCCCAACATAAAATGTTAAAGAACCGCTAAGGAAAACTAACACACTTTTGTACATAGAAAACCAAAAAACAGCCCCAACTATATTTAAGTGACAATTTCTACAATGGTATCAGCATTTTATACCCTAACATATATAATATCGGAAAACGAAAGGAAAACCCTATTGTAAATGTAGCCCTAAGTTTTTGCTACTACCAATATTTACAAGATGTACATTTAATGGAAAAAGCTTTCACTTTAGTTTAATTATTTGCGTAATTATCATTAAATATTGTTACAAACATATTGCATATTTATAAAACAAAAGAAAAAAAAAAAAAAAGAGAAGAAGAAACAGGAGGAGATTAACTATTTAAACAATATTAATATGCCATATACAGCGCTTGGCCGCATCAGCATCATAAATGCGCTCATAAATGAAAACAAATACGTAATGACCCCCAAGAGTTCCCTAAACAAATAGCAAATTTAACAAGCACAACTCCTAATGAAACAACAATAATAAAAGAATTCAGCAACAACACTAACAGAGCTAAAATACATTTACGAATATAAAATACAATATTAAGATTATATGTCCTGTCTGTCTAATTTAAATGTGTATATTCATGAGATGTGAACTCAAATCAAAATCAAATAAACTTAAATCTATATATTAATAAACGATATTCATTTAATTGTTTTAGTACGATACAACATTCGATGAAAGTCGTTTCCCACCAAACTTTTTATGTTTATAGCACCATCTACTGTTGGATAGCCGAAGTCTATAGGCATTTCGAGAGTAACTATAGTGCGCCATCTGTTGGTTATCTACAAAATTATACAAACAAATGTGCTAACACGTGAGTACGATAGTTTAAGCCGATATATCGATTACAGTTTGTGAGCAACTTGTGAGCTAATGAACTAAACGTTTTTGGTAATGACTAGTTCATACGAACCGATAACAGACTCTACTGAGAACAATCCGTGGCCGAAAACAGAATTGGTAATTTGTGATATAGTTTTTAAATTGAAAGGTTGCTATTGTGCATTTGCTTTTATCCTCTTGAATTCGTTGATAAAATGTAATTAAGTGTTGACTGTCCCATACAACTACTGATTAAATTTAAAAGCCGCTCTCCATTGGAAACTCAGTGAAAAAAGTTTTCGATTACACAACAGCTACCACAAGGCGAACGCTAGCAAAAAAAAGACTAAATTTTGCGTCGTAGGCTGCAAATATATATAGCTTTTTCTTAAATTACTCCAGGCGCAGCAGAAGCTACAAATGTTTGCTTGACTATACAATTTGTTATGCACGTAGTCCGTGCTGCTGTTACATAACCTGCGATGCGTCACCCCCGCACCCCCTTTGGAAACACACACTTAGCAAATGCAATCCTAAAATGGCTCCTTCTGTCGTTGCAGCTCTGAACTATGGCTCTTAGACTAATCAACAGTGCTCTGCGCCGCCAGCTGGCCGCCCAGTTGCCACACAACGCCCAGGTGGGCAGTGTTGCTTCAGTTCACACTCTGGACAAGATCGGCAAACGCGAGGTTGTCGGCTTTGGCTGGAACGGCACAGCTTGCTATGCGGATCGCGTCGATTACCCGATGCCCGCTGTGCGCTTCCGCGAGGCCAACAATGAAATCACCGCGCTGCGCACCAAGGAGCAGGGCGACTGGAAGAAGCTGAGCCCACAAGAGATCAAGGCTTTGTACCGTGCCAGCTTCTGCCAGACCATCGCTGAGGTCCAGGCCGGCACAGGTGAGTGGAAAATGCACCTGGGCATTGGCCTGATCTTCACCGCCGCCGCCATCTGGATCGCCGTGCTGATGAATCTGTTCGGTAAGCGTTGCATTTGCTGCTAAAGATTGTATGAGAAACCAATTCCCTGCTTGCAGTGTACGATGAACTGCCCGTCACCTTCGACGAGGAGCACCAGAAGGCGCAATTGAAGCGCATGATCGACTTGGAGGTAAACCCCGTCACCGGCCTGACCTCCAAGTGGGACTACGAGAACAACAAGTGGAAGAACTAAATGCTGTCCACGGCAATTCCAACTTGAAAGTAATTAAGCATAAAGTCAGGGGCGCTATGTATATTTAAGCGGCCAGAAACAAAAAGAATAGTTGAAATTAAATAATGGCCGCTGCCAAACCTAAAAAAAAGACAATGCAAACTTCATTTTCCGTACGCGGCAATAGCTACAAGAAAACTCACCTGAAACGCTCGAAATCTATAAACGAATATGGAGGAAATATAGCAAATGCTTTATTTTCATCATAAATCCAAGGGGTCTTCTTCACTCATGCCGTGGTAGTGTACTCTGCTGCAGGTCGATGCATGTTGTGGGCTCGCACATGCCACGGCCGATCGCCACTCACATACATTTTCCAGGATGCATCACATTGGAAATGGAATTGGCCAGCAACCAGCAGCATTAATATCTTTAGTAACAGCATTGCGGAGTTGGTAATGCCTGGTTGCTCAGTTTCCCAGTGCGCAGTATGAGCTGGTCTTTAGCTAAGCCCCTTGCGGGCTTAGTTTGCATAGCACTAAGCGCAACTAAAACGTTTATTACCGGACTAATTAATTCTATGCAGTAATGTTCCGTTCGTACTATCAAGAATGCAACATTTAGTTACGCGGATAATTTCGAGCCTGCGTGAAGTTGACTGCGCTCCCTTAGAGCTTTCGCTGCGTTCACAATCCAAAAGCTTTTACTCAACAGTTCACCACAGTGGCAAAATTTCATATACTCTAGATGGCGCTGCAGTGGCAGTGCACGAAGATATTCAATTTGATCAAAAACAACAGAGTTTCAACCAAAAATGTTTATGTGTGAGAAAAAGGGCACAAGAGTGAAGAGACACGAATTACTGGCAATGTATTTAATCTGTGAAAATTGTGAGTTAGTTCAAGTAGGCGCAACGCTTCCGGCCATCTATTGACGTGTAGCTAAGGTTATAGCTGCTCATGAAAATGCAATAAGTTGTTCATTTGTTTATGCAAGTCGTGGGATATGTTTCATTGAATATAGAGAATAGGAATTTGAAGTGGGTGAGAAGTGCTGGCAATGCGTCCAGCCTTGCGCTTTTGGCACTTGTTACGACAACGATTTGATCTTCATCCATTGCAAATCTTTCTTGATATTATGGAAGCCGTCGTGGGCGCGTACCACATAATGCTTTGCCTCGACTCTGACCAGTGCCAGGCAAGCAGACATCATAAAGAGGAGCACCAGCGGACTCATAATGATATATATTAGAAATACGTATGCATGTATTTGTATCAGCTTTCACTCCGAGCACCCACACACAAGAACTGTACCGGATAGCCAGAGTTTGGCTTACCTTGAGCCGCCCCACTAATTGCATTTGTCTTGGCCTGGAGCGCCTAATCAACAACTGCACGCTGCTGGTGACTTATACAGGGTGTCTTTATTGAAGTTGAATTGTAAGTATTTATGTATTTTGCGCCGTTGCCTTCTTACTCTCGAAAACATCGTTCCAGTGAGCCCAAAGAGGCTCGCGCTTTATATTGTGGAAGCCATCGTGGGCGTGTACATGCCGGATGCCCTGATTCTTATTCTTACCCGGTAATGAAATTTGGTGGCCGCCATTCTCCAGGTGCGCCTCCTCGGGGGCTTGGTATGTGATCAAATCAATTAAATCCGTGGAAGTCTGGTTAGGGTCGCTTGTGACCCCTAGGTGGGGTGGAATTTTTGTGACGGCTGGTGATCCCTTGGATGTTCCCTTCATCGTTGTCTGTGGTATTTTTGCAACGGTTGATGATCCCCCGGTTACGTTCCCCATGTTCGTCTCAGTTGTCTCTGGATGTTTTGAAGCAGTTGGTGCTGCCTCGGTTGAATTAGCTATGTCCTTCACAGTTGTCTCTGTATTGCTTGAAGCAGTTGGTGCTGCCTCGGTTGAATTATCTAAGTTCTTCATTGTTGTTGTCACTTCGTTGGTATCATTCGCCTCCATTCTTTGCGGGAGTGCAATCAGCAGCAAGAGCAGCGACAGCTGTAAAGATCGAATCTTATTGAAGGCAACCTCTTCTGATTTAGCCGTGCACTGGGTCTCGCAATCTTACCAGCTTGGTTTTGACCATGTCTATTATTCGCCTAGACGGGTCGTCTGTGAAGAAATCGTACGCCAGAGAGCTTTGCACTCTTTATAGTGGTAAATTGATAATTGATTCGAACAGTTTCCTGGTTTTATGGCCATAGCTAATATTGAGCATGACTGTGCCCAAGCTTTCCCCATTCGATACACTACAGAACGTAGCTAGGGCGATTCCCAGTTCTCAGTTTCCGATTCTCGTTGCTCTAAGAAAAGAAATCAGTACTTCTACATTCAAACTTTACAGCTTTGTTCATCGACTACATTGCGCAGCAAGGTTTTTAGTTGAGCAAATTTATGATAAAATAAATATTTTTTGGCAATACAATAATCTCAAGTTAACTAATGTAATCCGTATTTCAAAATAAAATAAAAGGTATTAAATAATATAATAACATTTTATAAGCTTTTAGAATCTGCAATTATCTCTCTCGATTGCATTTGTTTTTAATTCATTATTTGATTAGCGTAATGTGAACCTTTAATTAACAATTCAGATTACTTGTAGTGCAGTGCCAATAAGATTAATCATTTAGTTATCTACCTACCTCTGCTGAATCCACCTCTGGACTATATAAACACAACACAAGCGCAGCTCTAACCAGCAGTCTGCACTAAGTACTCGGTAAGAGATCATCTAAGATGCATTTGAAGCTTCTCCTGATCGTTCAGGTGAGTGTATATATTTAGGTGCTAAGCAAGTTCGGTGATAAAGCTTCGTTTTGAGCAGCTATTGGCGATCGCCTGCACCCAGGCCCGGGCTTACGACGACAATCAGACACTGGACGATGTGCAGCAGCCAGAGACGACAACGATTGCACCAGAGCCTGCAGCTGAAGAGAATGCAAAAGCACTTGCGGCCGAGGGGCTGCAGAAGGTGAATGATGGTGAGGCCCTGATCAACATGGGAACGGCCTTGCCGGAAACGACAAATCCTACAACGACCATAACAACAGCAGCTACCATTGAGGCTGAAAAGCAAGAAAACTCTTCTCCTCCTCCTCCGTTTCCACAAAGGGAACAATACTTCCCTCTTCGTCCTCCTTATAACCCCCTTGCTTATCCACAGACACATCCGTACGGGTATGGATTTACTTATATCCAACCAAATCTCAGCCCTGAACTGAAGCCCGCCTCAGGGAAGCCCACCGAGACACCTTCCGTCGCAGCTAATTACCCGGACTATCCCGGCTACCCGTATCCAAACTTCCCTATGCTACGCCCGCCCTTCTCTCCATATGGCTCACCCTATCCACAACCTGGGCGATTACCTTCTATCCCAGGCTTCGCATCTGGCATCAGCGCCGACAAACCTAAGTCAGACGCTCCAGACGATTCTGAGATGGGCAAGGAGGAGAAGACAAAGGTTGATCCAGAGGCACCCAAGCCCTTCGCCGAACCTCCCAGCTTTGGCTATCCCCCGGTCTATGTGGTACGACGACCGCTTCTACCCAGCTATCCATTTCCGAGAAACATCGGAGGTTACGGTTCGCCCTATGGCTACGGGCGCTAGTTAAAGCTGTTGATTAATCGAATTTATTGAATCGTGCTCAGCAAATTAAAATACAGCAATTAATTATAGTTACCTTAGCAAGGCTAACTATTATACTCTTGCACTTGAATATTCACATGAATCATATTAGATTGAACATAATATATATCATAAATAGATAAGTCTGACTCTAAGCGGAAGAGTTCTGATTTATTGAAATTTTGATGTGTATTAACCTTTTCTATTGTTCTTTAGATCAGGAATGTGTTATGTATATAGAAATTGTATTATTGTAAGCGTCACAATATAATGAGAAAGATGCAACTAAAAGACAAATATGAAGTGTGTGCGTGCATGCTATATAGTATTTAATGCATATTCATTGCAAATCGTGGCTTTTCACGCCTGTAACGCAGATAACCCTGATCGCAGATCAGCGATACTCTCAGCATCTCTCACCTCGTTCTAATGTAGTCAAACGTGTTAGTTCTATAGAATCAGCAGCGCAATCGAATGGGTCAGTTGTCAGTCGGCTAGAGAGTGAGAAGTATCGAAAATGTTCAGTCACCTCTGTAATATTGTGGTTTGCCTATTCATCGGATTAGTGGTAAGACTTCGACTATAAACAGATATTTATACCTATGTATTGTCATGTCTAATAAACTGATTTAATGTATGGAAATTCTGCAGCTCTGTCAAAGTGCTTCAGTTGATTGGGTAAGTGTATTCCTAGCTCCGTGGGTGCCTGCCCTCCCTCTTTCAGGTTGTTTCTCTAATATGTATACTTAGGTGCGCACTAAAAGGGATACACGTGATATACCATCGGACAAGTTTAAGCCTCTTCAGCCTTCCTCAACCAATGCTAAAGAAAGTCTCCCCCCCGTAAACAACGACAGTAACAATCGTTCCACATTCCAAGAGGTCAGTATTAAAAGAACACGGCTGTACAAATTAAGCTCACTAAAGATACTAGAAATATATATAAATTGATATTGTTTCATCTTTGCAGCACTCAACGGCCGAAGCCCATCCCAGGCTCGGATCCTCGGAAGCAAATAGTGAGGATAGCCCATGGCCATCCGCACCGACATTCTCCAAACAAAGTCGTTTTAATCGTCCCGCACCCCTGCCCTCTCTTCCGGCCAGATTTAATACGGTACGAACTCGATAGCAAAAGTTAAGAGCAGCATAGAATCGAGTTTCAGCTCTGATTCAATTCTAAACAAGTAAGAACGTTGCAGTCGGGCGTTACCGACTGCGGAATACTCATTCACACCCCATCAGCAATTTAGTAGCTAAGTTTAGCTCTAATACTGAAGAAAAGGCAGTTTTTCCTGATTTGCCTACTGAGCATAGACACTTAATTTTTGGTCAGTTCTTAGAACGAGCTAACGGTACCCTAACTGCTAAATTTGAATGCTTATGCTCAAAAAAGGCGGAAATTGCAGGGTATTTTTCGATATGTCATGCCCCTAAAGAGGTGTAAAAATTATTTTTGGCTCGATAGAGGAAGTTACTAGTAACTTAACTATCCAAATTTGAAGCTTCTAGCTATTATACTTTAGGATATATAAACTTTTGCCGTTTACCACGTCACCTGTAGGCGAACATATATTCGTCGAAGCTTCTTGGTCTTGGGTGGTCAGCCCGAGTGTGTATACAAAATTTGAGGCGTCTATCATTATTAAGTATAGCATATTTTAAAAATTCACTATATCTTTTGGTCCGATTTGCCACGCCCCTAATAGGGGTAGACATATAATTTTGTCATTAGATTAGCTTATGCTCAAAATTTCAGCGTTCTAGTTGTAAAACTCTTGGAGATAAACTTTTATCCGATTTGGCACGCCACGTGATCTTGGGTGGTCGACGTGGATCCATATTCCAAATTTCAGCGTTCTAGCTCTTCAACTAATAAGATTTCTGACATATCGGAAAATTCATTTTCCGATTTGCCACGCCCCTAGTGGGCGGATCGTGAAAATTTTAACACTATAAACCGGGTAAACACGAGTATGTGTCCCAAATTTCAAGACTTTAGCTTCAATAGCGTCGAAATAAACTGCGTTCATACGGACAGACGGACGGACAGCAAGACGGACATTGCATAAAGCCAATATACTTATTCATTTTCGTGAATGAGTATAAATAATTCACTTTCGTGAATAAGTATAAATAATTCACCTTCGTGAATGAGTATAAAATATGAGCTTAACCTATTAGTTCCTATACGTTTATACAGCCCAATTTTGACCCCGCATTGGACACGATTACTGGACCATTTGACAATGGTCGCAGAATCAGTGGTTCTTCGCGTTTAGGTCAATCAGTGCTTGGGGAAACTGGGTTCTCTAGCCCTATGCCTTTGAGCATACAGACGGTATGTTAGTTTACTAAACTGTTATTAATCGATTAATCAGACTACGTTATATTCTGATAGGGTCCACGCATATCTACGAGTAATGGGTTTTTTACTCCCATTAACAATTTCGAAGAGTCTGGTTTTGCTGGTGGCTTCCCCAATAATTTCTATCGTTCGGAATCTTATAGCTACAACTCAGATGGCAACGGTCCGCCACGCATTCAGCAAAGCGTATTCGACAGTCGCTTAGGAAATGGCATGATAACTCGGAAGTTTTAACTCAGATTTCCAATCATCTAACCAAAAATACTCAATAATAAACTGATAAGCTATATATTTGCTAAATATATTTCCGCATTTACTGACTGCGCAAATCCAAAATCTATTAAGATTAGGTACGAAGCAATGCATCACCTGCATTTGGCAATAATATTAAATGCATATATTTATACTTAGAATTCGATCCAACTTTCCAAGTTTGCCAAGTTACTATTTAGGTAGAGATTCGTTCTATAGCACGCAGAATTTGCCATCTATTTTCATAACATTCAGCTTTGGTCATTGTCAAATTGGGTTTTGACACACGATTGCTTTGCTTAAAATACATTATTCAGCTCTTGTCATTCAACTAGCTACTGTGCCATAATACTGAGATTTTTCCATTTAATTGTATAGTGAATAAGGAACAAAGTTGTATAAAGTCTCATTGAATTTAGCTTTTGGTAAACTTTTTATTGTTCAATTCCGATAACATTCAGCTTTCTTCATTCAACTAGTTGCAGTTTCATAGCAATCATCTGATGCAATATCGTTTCATAGCATTCCAGTATTGTCATTCAGTTTCTTAGCTTCCAAAGCTTAAAAAATATAAAATCTCTATAATAATTTTACAGATACACGCAGTAAGTCTGAAATTTCTGGTCCTTCTGGTATACATCCATTATAACAAAATTTCCAATATTCAAGACTAGAGAACAATATTAGAGGAAACTAAAGGACAATATTTAACGTACAGACAAAATTATCTTCAAAAGAAGAACTTTACTTATACTGAGGATTATATGTTCTTTGAAATATTTTACATACATATATTTTTAAAAATTAATTAAGTACATTAGTTATTTAAAAATATAATGTAATCATAAATGTCATACTTATTAAATTAAAACTTAAACTAAAATATTTTTATTCAACATTCTATGAAGAACGTTAGCATTCTAAGTTTTCAATAATGTCTTCTAACATCAAATACTTAATTTCAATATCGCTTTCGTCTTTAAAAGCCGTAAACCATTTTGGCAGCTCCGAGTCCTTCATGTTCTGCCTTCTTAGATAAGCCTCAATGTGATCTTCAGTTCGTTCCATGAAGGTGTAGAGTTGCTTTTCCAGGCTCTGCTCGAATGTGTCGAAGCCAAATTGACGCATTAGTTTGTCCACAAGACTCTCGGATCCGTCTAGCTCCAAATGATCATATTCCTCCTGTTCATAATATAAATCTAATAGATCCATTAGCCATACCAGTAAGTCATTTAGCTCCTCAAAGTCAACTTTGTGACTGGCCCGTTCAATGAATGTGGCAATTTCATCAAATATAATCCGATCCATCTCGTTGGGGTCCAGTCGCTCGGCAGCATCGATAATACGCTGAAGTAGCTCCACGGACTCGCTCAATGCCCGCTGGCCGAATGTCGTAGCCTCTCGCACTAGACTTGATTCCAGTTTTTCGCAGGATGTAATTGGATTCGTGTACTGCGTGAAAAATTATTCAAGATTAGACTTAAAAGTGATTCTTGAAGAGATAAGATAGTAATAGAGGAGAAGCACTTATAAAAAGAAAATTACAAAATAGAAAAATTATTTATCATTTTTATATTACTCAATTAAATATTTTATGTTTTAGACATGCAGGAAGTAATTCAACTTATTAAATCATTTTTCCACGGTCAACTTTCTTTTTAATTCGCTATTGGATTGTTATTTTAATCGCTTAGTTCATAGGAATTCGGAAATAGAAAAAGTTTTAGTTAAGCTGGATAGATATAATGGACATTCGCAATTAACCATTTCAGACTATCTCCTGTTCGATTAGCTTGGCTTACCGCTGAGTGCAGGACTGCGAAGAGGAGTACGATACGCCACATGTTGATGCCACTGGTTGTGCGTTATTCGGAAGACTGTATTGTTCTAATGGAGCTAACTTAGCCTCTTATAGGCACGCACACAATGTGGGGATCGTGGGATCGGTGAAATATTCGCTACTCTATAATCAGTTAATGCGATTCGCTTGACGTGATAACAACGTTCCGCTAATAAAATGATGAGTGCGCGATTATTCATCAGAGCTCCGCTGCTTCTGATGCTGCTGCTGATGCTAATGGGCGTAGGTTGTGTGTGTGCCACGCCTCTTTGCCTGGTTGATAACTTGTCGGGTTTATTTAATAGCTGACTGTGGCGCTGCCTGGCAGGGCGAGCTTCCAGGAGTTGCGTAAGCTGCTCAGACAGCAGCAACAGGACGAGCAACAGCTCAAGGAGCAGCAGTTCAACGAGGACCTCAACTCATGGCTCCATGCCCTGGAGCAGCTGGGTCAAGACTTGGCCGCATTTGTGAATCAGTGCCGTCCACCGGGCAGTCGCTGCGGACAGCGGCAAGTGCAGCGCGGCTTGCGCTCGCTGAGACGCAGCCACAGTGACCTGCGCGCCCAGTTGGAGACCCTTGAGATCAGCTACGTGGGCAAGATCAGCGAGGAGGAGCTGCTGATGCCCGCATTGCGTGCTGTGAGACAGGTGCTGCACCAATACGAGGACTTCATGAGGCTGATCAACACAGAGGCCTACAAATTGGTGAGCCAGTAGAGTATCCGACTCCTGCTGTTAAAATTGAATACATAACTGTATAGTAATTACACTTTCTCGAGGCAGATTCACGCGATCGAAAAGCTCCCAGCTGAGAGATATACTTAAATATAATTACTGTGCTCAGATAGGAAACTTGTACAGTCACATAAAGAAAGTCGACTTCGACAACACGAAGATTATATAAATAGCTTTGCGTATGCATGAATGTATAGGTATATAAAAGTATAAATATATAAATATGTATGTACAGAAATGTAGAGGCAAATCAGATCAATATAAAAAAAAAAAATATTTTAATTTAATATTCGTTTCAAATTGTTTTCAAATATTGAATTTATTGTTGTTTCTTATGTCTATCAGGTGTAAATATATAAATCCATATATATCAAATATATACAAGTAGAAATGTATACAAATTTGACAGTATGTTATTCATCTATGTTGCTTGTATTGTTGTGCTCATAAAAATGCACAAATGTATCTAAATTTATCTTTGGCTGTGTAACGATTGCATTCAAATTATCTCAATTATATGGTAATTAAGTTTCTTAAAGATTTTCTAGGAGTTAGGAGTGCATGTATAGCATTTCCAAATGCTTGGGCAACAGCCTCTATAATGATCCTTCCCTGGGCCATGTAGTCCATTAGCTGTAGCTCCGGCACCGTCTCTCGCAGCTTGCTGGGGAATTCCATGTAGGCCCCGATGATGCTATCCGCGGTTTCGGTCTGCCAACGGGACACATATTGCAATATCTCCTCGTTCGTCGTTTGCGTGGCTTCGGAGTACTTTGCCAACTCATGTCGGGCTTTGGAGAAGAAGGCGCGAATGGAGACTTTCTCCTCGGGCAGCAGCTGCTGTAGCACTTCGTCTGATTGGTGCCCCTTGAGCCAGTCGTCGTGAATTAGGGAGAATATGAGGTATGCCGTGCTATAGTAACTCTCATTGTGCGCTTTGTCTAACATTTCGAAATATTGTTTATCAATTGAGCTGTAGTTCTTCGTGCTCTGCATCTTCTGCCGGAAGCTATTTATGCTCGACTCCAGCACTTCATTGTAGAGCCTCTCAATCTTCCTCATGGTCAAATCGGCTGCAGTGCTGTCCTTACTCAAATCAGCTGCGCTCTGACAATGAAATCGAATACAATATAAATAAATATGTATATAGGTAGCGCCTGGAACGCGACTCGACTTACCCCACTGATAAGCAGCCCGAGGCAGATTAGCGCTGTCAGCCAGCGAGATATTGAAGTGCTGCCGTTCATGTTTGCCTTCAGACTGAAACTGAGCTGCAAAGCTGAGTAAAATGAACTGAATGAAAATGAAATGAACTGAAATCAAGCAGCTGGTCTGCCGTCACTGAGGGTATTTCAATTTTCTTACACAGTTTATAATGGTGAATCCATTACATCTGTTTCTTATAGGTCTGAATGAAAGATAAGAATTATGAATGATGCATTGTAGCCAAAGAAAAACTCAGATTATGATTATAACATAGATATACATGTATTTGCCAAAGCACAAGTCTGTAGTATTTGAAATACGCTTTTTACAAAAGTGATGGTGAGGGGGTGGATATAGGGGTGGGGGGTAAATTTGAACAAAACCCGAAATTGTATAAATTGCATAAGCATACATAAAAAATTTGGAGACTAACAATAAAGGTGTAGGAGATATAATTTTATAACTTCTGGATTTTTATCGATACAAAAAGATCGGGATGAGTTATCGATTTTCAATGATAAACTCGACATCCGCGCTGTAAATACGGACAAAAAAAAATTGAAGTCTCTAGCTCTTATATCTTCTGAAATCGACGCGTTCATACATACGGACAGACGGACAGGGCCAAATCGACTCAGCTCGTCACCCTGATCAAGAATATATATACTTTGTGGGGTCTGCCACGCCTCCTTCTGCCTGTTATATGCATTTCAACAAAACCATTATACCCTGATTTCCCATTGAAAATGGGTTCAGGGTATAAAAATAAATGAAATAAATATCAAATGCAAACTGATTTCTGTATTATACGAAAACTGCGACTTTGTTAGTGAAATTTTAGCTTTTATTAGGCATTTTAGCAAAGGCAGAAATAAAAAGAAAATATACATTAGTTTAATTAGTTTAAAATTGTAAAATGAGCAAATTTTCAAAAGTAACTGCGGTCTTATTATTATAAACAGTTAATTAGTTAATCAAGCTAACTAGAAAAAGAACTTTGTGAATTATTTCCCATACATACACATACATATATGTTGATTATATACAATACTCTTAATATTTTTAATATACCATATAAGTTAATGCATGAGCCGCACTGCGAATGCTCTGCTCATCTCGAATATGTTGTAAATATATATCTATATATTTAACATTATTTATATATATTAATATGCTAACAACTCGTCAGTTAGCACGAAGATGGAGAATATTTTGTACTAACATTTATATATATTTTTATTTATTTTACTCAGTTTCATATGTCGCGGAGATAATTAAAAATGTTTTCGAAACTCGAAGAACAATAAGCAAAAAATAATTTATGGGAATTGTTTTGAATTCTACTCCCATCTTAAAGTCCTATGAAAATGCAGAATTAATATCGTAGTTCATGTAATTCAATATGCTTGAACATTCAAATATTGTACTTAACTTATGTAGATCATATATGTATATGGTATATATTCATACTTAATCTAATATTTACTCAACGATTCACATTAATTGTAAACACTTTGCTTATACATATATTCAGAATATAACGCTTTACATCCGAGTACATTGAATACATTCAGAATGCGTTTGTACTCATCGAACTGACGAATCAAATTGACAAGTAAATTGATTGCATTTGCTTAAGCCGATTTGACTTTGACATTACGTATCTCAAGTGTTGCATATTGTACATAATGGTTCGAAGTTGATTGCATAATGTCTATTGAGAGTTGAGAAGGTTTTGCTTTAGGTACAACAATTGTTTAGGTACATTTTATTGAAACTGGGTTCATATACCATATATAGATTTATATCTGGCTATATAGAAATTCTTATGTATTGACGCCGTTTGAGCATTGTACTTTGAGTTGTATTTAGTAGAGATTTGAGGATCTTTAATACATAGCTATAATCTAGTTTCATATAACGCGTAACATACACACACATATATATGTACATATATGTGCGTTTTTATTAACACTAAAATATATAGGTATATATGTATATATATATTACTTTTTATTAGTAAAGCTTAATCGCTGCAAGGTACACATGACATTTCAACTTTATAAAGCGCATGGCTTCAAAGTTTTTGTATAACATTTTTTCAAAATAATTTGGAATAATTGAACGCAAAAACGAACTCTCTTAGTTTAGTTGTCTAGCGAATTTAACATTTGTATAATCTAATTAATGTATTTCGTATGATTTTAATTTGTAAAAATAGTTTGCTGCAAATCGAAGTAAGAAAATATACATCCATATAATTATTTTACTTAGTACAGCTTTCTTGCACCTAAATTCTGTTATCTAGAAGACAGTCCATTGAGTAGAGCTTACGGCTAAAGGGATCTCGAGTGTGAAACACGGATTGTATAGCTTAAGTAAATTAGTATGAAAATAGATTGTGGGATATGGTAGACAAAAGACCAGCAGGTACAGCTTACACCTAGGAGGATCTTTGAGTAGGCGTTATAAACCAATGCTATGCAAAGGAAAGATATAGGAAAAGTTGGTATTTTCGAAACTCTTAAAAGCGGGTCTCTATGAGCATACCCTTGCACAGAATGCACAAAAAATAAAAAATATAATTTATTTACATACATAAATATACTGTGGGACTGTGGTTCGTGGATAGGGAAAAGTCACCAAGTGTTGAGTAGATCTTCATTGCACTCGGCATAGATTCATATCTAATATTACCTGTCGAACAGCTAATACTTAACATTAAACAAATTTTAGCGACCATTTTAAATTTAATCATTATATGCCTGCAAGGGTATTTATTCTATCTGCAGCAGACCGATGCTGACATATTTTCACTAATATATTTATATCGTTACACTATTTCTCATTTAATTTTATGCATCTTAGTAAACTAGATTATCATTTAAATTGCAAAAGCCGAAAACACATATCTAGCATGGAAAATCAACTGGCCATAGGAATTCCCAGTTTTGGGGAAGATATTATTTGTTGGCCATGGCATATAGATTGATGTACAGGTGAAGTCCAAGGGTTTGTAAATTTCCTAACCTAATCTAATATTTCACCCAGATACCCTACATTTCTCTTCAGCATGCTCGAAAATAAAGAGCATCTACATACTCCCTTTGAACTCTTTTCGGCCTTTGTCTCGTATTGTCGTCGAAATCGCAAATGTCTCACAGATCCTGTTCGATTCGTAGTCTATTCCATTCGAGTGGAAATTTTTCATACGCTTCTTGTGAAAGTTATAGTCTGATATACTTATGGAAAAAAAAAACAATAAAATAAAGTATTGTAGTCCAAAGAATCCGACTAAGAGATACTCTGAGCTCCAGATCAAGCTTCTGGATATTCAATTGGACCTGTTTGGCTTTTAAAGCGTGTACAGAAAAAAAAGAAAAAGAATTTGAGTTTATGCATGCTTCGTTATGTATTTATTCATGTGAAATTATATTATAAAGGACATTTGAACATAAAAGTAAACGTAAAACTAATTTAAATTAAATGCCGTATCTCAGTGTCACACAAAAAGACAGCGCAGGAAACAAATGTTACAAAAGAAAACTTCACTCAGAGAACATAATGTGATTAAATCAGATCAGAAAAAAATGTTTAATTGTAATAATAAAATTGGTATGCTTCATTGTGGTGTATAAATTAGAAATTTTTTAATTAATTAATTTAACAAATTTAATTAATTAAATTATTTAAAAAAATTTCTAGCTATTTTCTCTGAGTGTACCAATAAGGTAGCTAGATAGAAAGAGAGAGAGAGAGAAAAATGCAAGAGAACAATTTTACTTTTTATCACAATTGCGTAAGAAAAATTTCTTTAATTGCTAGAAACCGCCACGCCCAGTACCTCCCCCACTGCCTGAGTGCGACGCCCCCAGCACCGATTGCGGCACCAGGATGCGAGGCAACGTCAACGAGCGCTTGGGACAGCTGTGCCGCTGCGGCGTCGTCTGATCCGGCGTATGGCCCGCAGACAAGCTGGGCTGGGCAGTTAGGGCCGCTGCCGCCTCTACCTCCGCTGCTGGCACCGGCCTTTCGACGAGTTGCTCCGTGTGTCACGCATACGACTGCGCTGTTTGGGGCATCATGCCGGCTGTGTAGCCGGCATCGAGGCCCGGCCGCTGCTCCACCAGGTTCTTGAGCCGGCCGCGCAGCTCCTCTAGACTCTTGGACTTGGCCTTGTTGATGCGCTTGTACTTCACGTCCTTGGGCTTGGTCACGGATCGATGGTTCGACATGACACGATTGTAGGTCGTCACCTGCGACTTGCCATTCGCCTGCTCCGTAGCTGGGCTGGTGCTTGGAATTGGGGTCGGGCTCGGGCTCGGGCTCGGGCTTTGGGGTTGCAGCTGCGGTACCTTCATGCTCAGTGTCGTGCAGGGTGTGGCATCGTGGCTGGGCGAGCGTTTCAGTGCGCCCAGCTGGCGACGCGGCACGGCCATGGCCGTTGTCGTGGAAGTATCTTTGGCTTTGCTGTCCGTTGCATCCGACGGTCCATCGATCTGTCCCTCGGTGGAACTAGAGCTGAGCGCCTTGTCCGATCGATTCTTAAACTTGTCGCGCTTCTCGGCCACGTCTGTGGTCGGCTCCGGATCCTCCTCCACGGAGTACACCGTCTCCAGTATGTCCGGACGTCGCAGATAGCAATTATTGCGCCTGGCCGCTCCATACTTATTCAGATTCGTCTCGATGGCATCCGATATGGAGCGCACGATGGTGATGCCGTCACTAGCAAGCACGCCGCCCAATCCGCCGCCTCCGCTGCTCTTGCGACGCGTGCCTAGAGTCATGTTGCTGTCCGAGTCAATGTCCTCTAGCACCACGGCCGAGTCGGAGTCGTTCAGAGAGTCCAGCTCATTGGCATAGCTCGCCTCGATGCTCTCCAGGCCGTGGTCCACCAGGCGCGTGGATAGCGTATCTATGATCTTCTGCTGGCGCTGTATGGTCAGCTCCCGATGGCTCAACAGACTCGCGATCTGCTTCTGCTTCCGCTTAAGCCGCGCCTCCAGCAGCAGCAGCTGAGACGTCAGCGAATTCATCTGATCCGATTTTTCCTTTTGATAGCGATAATGCTGCTGCACCTGTTCCAAGGAAAGAAAGTCATGTTAGTGATATGAAGCCAATTTCTTAGAGTTTCTATTTCTGCCATCTTCCACCATCCCCATGTGTACAATAAATTCTTGGTTACTTTTAAAAAGATATGCGGAAAAGTGTGGAGAATGTATATATTATTATTAAATATTTATTTAATCTAAAACATGAATAAATAATAATTCAATAACTCAACCATCCTTGTGAAAAATAAAGCCTAAAAAATTATATTTTTTCTCATATCAAAATACGATTGAAAATTTTGGAACAAAATTTTATAAACACATTAGCGTGAATGACTGAAGTCTGTTATTGAATATAAAATTTTCAATGATTTAAAGATTGTTTATTGATAGATTTAAGCTATTGTAATTGAATTTTGAATTAACATTCTTAAAACCGTTGAATTTTCTATGTTTTACATAAATATTTAATATATT